TATCTGAGGAGTGCAGCCAGGAACGTGCAGAGGTTCTGGTTCTGCGGCTGCTTCTTGCCCTCTTGAATCTCCGTCTGCCCATCAGGCTTTGGAAGTGCGGGAGAGCATGGTAAAGGCTTAATTTTTCACTGGTGTGGCCCCTACAACTGCCTTTAGGAGGCAGAACCTGTTGTCAGCTTTGGCTTTAAGTAGCTTCATTTTCTTCAACTCTGTCACAGGTAGCGTTGAGCCAGGAGTCAGAGCGAGGGTGACAGGCTTCCTAGGTTGCCAGGGACCATTGTGTTGGTTTGCTGTGTAATAGTGCCCCTCACGTTCTCAAGATGCTGTGGTTGGGATCACAAATTAACATTATCACTAGAGTCCAAGAGCAGATGATGGAGTTTTTAAAGTCTATCATTAATGTGCTAACATCAAAGCAAAAGGGAATTGAGGCTACTTGGAATAACAGGCAAAAAGCTTGATTAATTTTGGAAAAAATTGCTTTGGCTTAAATCATTTGAATACAGTGATCTGTGGTGATCTGACCTATTCAGGCATTTATAGTCTGGGACTAAGGACCTTCCTAATGTCTTTGTTTTCTGACAGTGAATAGAATGGTTTCTTTTTAGAAAACCACAGCATGAAAGGGGAGCTGTGGAGAGTGGATGTATCCATGAAGCTATCAGGTATCAAGAAAGATCAGTCACAGAAACTACCCAAGCAAAGCGGGCTCTTCTCTTCTCTCTTTCTGCCATAATATTCCTGACACTCCTTCCAGGGGAAAGAACCCCACACCTGGCAGGAGAATGAGGTTCGGTCTAGTAAGGGATATTTAATTGAGCGGCCTTTCTATAGAATGCCTTTGGAGATTTTTCTTTTGAGCAATTCATTTATCATTATACCCAATAATATATCATAAATACCTTTGTCATGTTTGTGCCACAGTCCTGGGAGGTTGGAGTACGAACTGCTTTAAGTTGGGGAACAGAGTATGTTGGGGAAGACCTGGAGATGGTAAGACATTAAGTTGGATTTTGAAGGCTGATGGGATCTAAACTGATGAGTTGAAAGACGGTAACTGAAAAAATGGGGAAAATGTACTGTAGAGATTGTAAGCATTGGGAGTAACAAAATATCTGGGAATTTGAGTGGATCAGTCTGGAAGGGTGATTTTTTTTGGAAGATCTTATTTATTCATTTGACAGGGAGAGGGAGAGCACGCACGCGCATAAGCAGAGGGAGTGGCAGGCAGAGGGAGAGGGAAAAGCAGGGAGCCTGACGCGGTGCCCAATCCCAGGACCCTGGGATCATGACCTGAGCCGAAGGCAGATGCTTCACCGACTGAGCCACCCAGGCGCCCTGGAAGGATGATTAATGCAGAAGTTGGGTGCAGAATAAATCAGAAGTGTGGGTAGTGGAGGCAGGAAAACTGGGAAGGGATTGGTTCTAACCCAGCCAGATGCTGGATGAGAAGAATCTGGGTCCAGGACAGTGGCAGTGAGAATGCAAAGGACAGCATGAAGGTGAGAAAAGCTGGCAGACTGGATGGGGGACAGAGGAGGAAGAGCACTCAAAGATGAGGTTTTAGGAACTTGAGAATAAATCGTGTTCATTATGCAAGGAAGAATGTAGACAACAGAGACTTGTTGATGGTGGCCGTGAAGATCAAAAGGGAGGAAGAGATGACAGAAGAGAGGACAGCAGGTCTCTAGAGAAGCACGTCGACCAGAGGGGCCATATTTACAAGTCCTGTCACTCAGGTCACAGAATGTTCTAAGGTATGTATTTCTCTGTCTTGAACAAGAGAGAAAGACTGGACGGACTTCCATTCATTCAGCAGACATCCTTAGGTGCCTCCTGTGCGTCACTCTACCATGGAAAGGTGAACACGGTATGTTCCTCGTCTTCACTGAGCTCCCAGACGACGCAGACACGTAAGTAGAAAGGGCAGGATGCTCCTGTGGTGTAGTGTCCAAGGTGGGTTGCTTACCCCACTTGGGGCAAGTCTCCCCTGTTGACAATAAGATGGCCACAGGACAGGGATGATATAGCAGAGAAGGAAAAGCGAATCCTTGATTTTAAGTCCCAGAACGGATTCTTAAAAATTCAGAGACTTGGCAGCTTGCAGGAACCTCAGCCTCTGGGTCCCCAAAATAACATGATACTGTGACAGGCGTCCACTGCCCCAGTAGGAACCATTCAACCTGACTGGGGTGGAGGAGCCAGAGGAGACGGGCCCCAGGAAGAGAGAGCAGAGAGGCAAGGAGCATCTCGCTCTGAGCTCCAGACTGAGGTCTCAGTCAAGGTGGACTCAGCAGCTTGGAGAACAGAGGGTCCCCACTTTCCATTTCCTCTGAGAAGTAGCAAGCCTTACCAAGCAAATGCCCACCTTCTCCAACACCTCCCCCCAACCCCTCGCGACACACATACCCCACGCACTCTTGGGAATGGCAAGGAAGCAACAGAGAAAGACCAACTTGGTTGGCAAGGGGGAGGGGCCGGGAGAGGCTTGGGGGTCAGGAGCAGCAGGGGCAGGAGGAGACCTGAGGGCCAGAGACGGGCTGGGGCTGCGGGCAGCAGCAGAGGCAGGTGCTGGAAGGCCGTGGGGACGATAGCCTTCCAGCCAATGCCAGTACGGACAGAGATCAACTGACGGCAAGATGCCTTCTCACGGATGCCGGATGCGGTGATGCCGTCCCGGCCACCACCCCAAAACTTCGAGGCAACCAGGAAAGGAGTCCCTGGAACTAATCCGGAAAAGCCTGATGTATCTGAGTTGCCCATGAGCAAAGATGAAATTTATGCCACCACGTAGACTACGGACTCAAGACTGACACGGTGTCCCTCCGCAGACCGCGCCTGTGCACGCAGACCCCGGCAACGACAGTGCCGTGGACAAGGGCAGACGGAGCCCCCGGTGCTCTCCGAGGACGGGCGGGCCGAGGCCAGGGCGAGCGAGGACCCCCGAGCACAGCACCATGGGCCGAGGGGGAGCTGCAGTCAGGTAAAGGGAACCAGAGCTCTGGGAGGGACAGGAGACAGCGTGCGAAGCTCCGGGCAAAGGGCTGCAGAGGCCAATCTGCAAACCTGAAGCCGCTTCGCATCCAGGGCATGGGGAGGCCTGAGGCTTTGAAGAGGAGGGTCAGGAGCACGTTTGCATTTAGAAGCAGCATTCTCGGTGCATGTAAAGAAAGGCCTGGCCTTGGCTAACCCTGGCATTCGCGCTTCTGGAGGCCGTCTTTCCTTCTCTCTCCTGTATTCTCTGTACTACGAACCTCACACGGATTCTAACCCCCCCCCCCCAACCTGCACTGTAGCCTTCATACAGTGACGATCAGCTACGAGTCCAGGATAGGGGTCTGGGAAGTCCAAGTTAGGGTTTAGTATCCAAATTGGTGGAGTTTCCAGAGCCTGAGTCTTGGTCAGAGAAGCCCGAATGACCTGGTCTGATATTGAGCCTGTAGAATGTCTCCTACGCACACATGTACACACATCCTATTCCTTATTCGGTGTTACTGGTTGAACTTTAAAAGAAATTGAGGAACGTCTATATTTTTATTTACAGTTTACTTAAAAGCGGGTTGCACGCTCTGTGCTGCCCGTCCTCTGGTGGAGGTGGGCAGGGAGCGCCCTGGCAGCCCGGATGGGGGAGGGGGGAAGCTCTCCCTATCGTCGGCTTCCTCAGTCCTCTCGCTGATTCTGTAAGCCATTGGCTACTTTGTAACGAATCCCCTTCTGTGGCCAGAGTGGATTTTGTTTTCTGTGCACCGACCACAACAGGTCAAATACACAGTGGTTAAGATCACAGACGCTGCAGGCCACCTGCTGATGGCTTGGCCCCGAGGTGCTCCGGCCTCCTCACCTGTACAATGAGGAGGGTGAGGATGAAGTAAGACAAGGTGCTTACAAGGGTGCCTGACACACGATAACTGCTCAAATGTTTGTTTTTAGGAATGTGAAGTACATAGTTTAACACTATACCAACCAAATTAAAAATTTAAGAACTTCTTAAACTAGTATAAAATCCTTTCGGCTAAAAGCAAAAGAAACCACTATCACAAAGTAACTTTGCACTTGGCTGTTTCACACTCAGAATGGCTTTCTGTAAGGAGGGGAGATGCATATGCATTTACACCCACTGCCTCCCCTCCAAATTAAGTGCAGTAGCTCTGCTTCTTACCTGTGTTTCAAACTGGGCTTACTCGTGAGGTTTTTTTTGTGTGTGTGTGTGAAGGAAGGATTTCTCTTGTTAGAGAGCACTAGCTTTGGGACAAGGGGATATGATGCTGAGGGGGCTGAAAACTTTCCACTTTGGGATATTTAAGACTAATGGGAAAAGCCTGTTGTCTGCTAGAGAACATTCTTTTTGACTCCACTGCAGAGATGTGCCATGAACCGCCCCCCACCCAACACACACACCGGTTTTCTAAAAGGAGCCCTACTCTGAAGCTCATCTTCACCTGTGACTGTGACAGCATCTCTACATTGCAGTTGCGTTGTAAGGAAACCAAGGGACGTAGTATGTTCTTCTGGGGGACGCAGGGAGCACGAAAGGAGATGCCAGGTTCACCGGTCAGTATGTGCTTAGGACTCATTAGCATCCTACCCTCTCCCCTTGAAAACAAAGCAGAAAGTTGCATTTATTCACATGTGTGGGACTAAGAGTGGTGACAGTGTTTTCCACACATTTGCACCCATGGCAAGAGGATGGCAACCCATCCCAAGACCGATGAAGCCAGTCACTGTAAGACAGTCCCAAGTATGAATTCTCTGCCTGCATTCTATGTTCTCTAGGTTCCACGAGGGCCAACAAGGCTCCAGAAAACTTGTCCTGCCCACCCTCCATCACTGGACAGTCCCATTGCTCCTGAGAATCCTTCTCAGAGTCCGCAGTGTCCCTCCCTCCCTGCTGGCAAAAGCTAAGCACGAGCCCTCACACTCTAAGGTGTGGAAACTCTCCGCTCTTAGCGTGCCAGAATTCCGGGATGAAGTTGTTCAACCCACTGAAAGGGAGTCTTTCATAATGGGAAGAGCTAACATTTATTCAATGGACAGACATACGGAACACGTGATCAGTCACCGTAAAGCAGCACGACGTCAGCCTGCTCATGTTATTCCCAGATGTCCTTGAATAAGTGACAATTTACACAATGTTGCATTAAATGCCTATTAAGAAGATAATCACAGCTGGTGACATATTAAAAAAAGCAAACCCAGAATGCGAGGACTGATGGCGGCAGAGCCTGTGGGAACAGGTGCCAAGCTGCAGCAAGCGCTGGCTGGGCAGCTCCCCGGCGATGCTCGTGGCAGCGAGGACCACGCTCAGCAGGCCGCCCGATGGCCAGTTCTACCAGGCTCCAGAAATTCATTTTCCAACTCCCAGACTGACTTTTCTATTCCTAAATGAAGAATGAGCCCAACAAATGATGAAATACGGACTGTGAGCCCAAATATTTGGAGGCATGGATGTGGCAAACCCTCACTTCATCAACTGCACAGAGAAACCTCTAGAAGACGGGCAAAGATGAAGAAAGTTTTCCTTGAGCAGAACATAAACACGTACAAATCCTGGAACAGCACTGGTGTCCACAAATACCGCTGCCGCAAAGACACGCAGTCTTCAAAAGCGTGGTGAGGAAGAGGACGGCAGAGCCGGGCTACTTCTTCATCTCCAAAATGGCGCTTCCTGGCCCGCGGTGCTTGGCGCTGCAGATGCCGCAGAACTGCGCAGGAGAGTTCTGCAAAGGTCATTCACAGACACAGATTTTTAAAAAGAGAGCGCTTTCTACTCTCCTGTTCAGAAATACTTTATGGGAGCAGCGGTGGGGGCGGGGAGCTATGAAACACCACTCCTCCTCCCGGAGGTTTTGCTGGGTCACACAGGATTCTGTCTACACCAGCTGTTACTGTGATGCAGAGGATACCCCAAAGCAAAACACGTGTCCTGGGGGGACACGGGAACAGGACCCTAAAAACAGCAGTGTCCTGCTGCAGAACTCAGGTTGAGAAAGTTCTACAAACTGGTTCTCACTGTATGTCATGTCAGCATAGCTTGACAGTCATCGATTTTACCTAAACGAATTCCCTTGGTGAGTAGGCTTTTATGATGTTCAGCACAGTAACCCCCCTATATCCTTGGGGAGTAAGTTCCAAGGCCCCCCAGTGGCTGCCTGAAACCCCAGACAGTACCAAGCCCTAAATGTGCTCGGCTTTCTCTATGCAGACCTACGTACAAGAAATGAGGCCCAGGAAGAGATTACTGGACAGTTGTGACCCCCCCCGCCATACTGTGACAGAGGTTCTGCGGCTGTGGTTTGTCTGGCTCCTGCCGGACCCCCTCTTGTGGTGAGAGAGGAGAGGCGCGCGTGCTGAGAGGGAGGGAGGGAAGGAGGGAGGCAGGTGAGCTCGGTGTGGCCACTCCGGACGACCTGGCCGTTGGTCAGGAAGAGGATCATGTGTTTGCAGAGCACGACTAACCGTCACGGTAATGGACACCACGGATGGGGGGGGCTACTGGACAGGAAATGACGCATTCGAAAAATACTTTCATTTCCCTCATGTGCTAGACAACGAATCCTGAGAAGCCACAGGACGATGGGGACACTTCTGAGTGCGTCCTCCTGACTGCAGCGAGCTCTGTGGCGTCGGGCTGCCAGGCGGCCAACTCACTGTGCTGGGCCCGGGCAGGCACTCCTTGTGGAACATGTGGCGGCAGTGGAAGACCAGCACGCTGAAGGGCTTGGCGGCATCTGCGGGGGGGGGCGGGGGGGGCAGAGACACGAGCACTCAGGGCAACAAGCAGATCGGGAACTGGAACCCATCCTGCCTGAAGTCCCGCTGCAGTTTAATTTTCCCACAATACGCTGCCTCAGGAGGATTACGTGGTCACTGGTACCCCCCAACCCCCGTCTCGAGGGGGGTGTGATCGGATGCAAAGTGGGGACTACGGTGGGGATGCTGAGTCACAGATCCCGTGCCTGGCCTCCCCGTCAGTGACGAGTACCACCAAGGGACCACCTCACCGCAAATGCAAGCACAGGTAGTGTAAAAATTAGATCAGTCTGTGCACGCCCTCCTCCCTTCCCTAGACCCTCAGACACCAGAAAACCACCCTATGCTCAAGCCCACTTTGTGGCTTTAGGAAAATGCTCCAGCTGGCTTCCGGCCTTGGCCGAGCCGTTCAGCAGCGTCCAGGCACAGCCGTTCACCCCCGCGTCTGCACTGCTGGTCAGACACGACCGGAAACCAGGACGGAAGCTCCCCACTGCGGCTGTCAACATGAACACTTACATCCAAGCCTAGTTCCTGCAGGAAAGACCCCGACTGGAACGACTTCTGTCCCGGTCCTGCTCTATAATCCCGTAAAGCTAAGTACATCGTACATCAGCTAGCTCTTTCAGTACCCCTCTATGCTGAATTTACATTTAAAACACTCTTTGCATCCCAGTAACTATGCTTTGCTTTCTACTTTCAAATTATGGAATTTCCTCTTCTGTCCTGTCCTTACATGAGGTGCTTTGATTACACAGGATGATATATAGATCTACCAACAACAAATAAACACATGCTAATGTTCGAATTAGATGGCAAGTAGTAGGTTTCTGGTGAAATGTGGGAAAATTAGGTGCCTTGAACCATATAGCAGAGCAAGTTTGAAGAAAAGGGGAAGCTACACACGATTCTTCTACCTTGGAATTTAAGCATTGTCAATGGTAGATTTTCCACTCTGTTTTACCCTAAAGCCATGGTATCTCACACAATGGCCCCTGAAGTAGCATCCACACCACGTGGGAACGTGTTAGAACTGCAAATTCTGGGGTCCCGCACCTCTTGGGGTGGGAGCAGCATCTGGGCTCTACCTCCCAGGTAATGCAGACTCCCTGCCGGGTGAGCACCTCAGCTTTCAAGAAGGGCAGTACCAGCGTGCAACTGAGGACAGCTGTGGGCTGAAATTCTCCTCTAAAATGGGTTATTCCAAAAGCTATATAATAATTAGTTAACGTCAAAGTTTTAATTCTACTCCTCATGAACCCACATTTGGGGATGTCCCCCCTCCCAACCACCTCACCTGATGGAAGAATAGGGGAAAGGCACGATTCACAGATGTTCTCCTCTGCAAGGAAACACACACACTTGGGATCACACAGTATTTCTATTTGCTCTGTCTATTCTGAAAGCAAAGCATGTGATTCCAATAGGATTATTTCAATTTTACCCACCATCGACCAGAACGCCTTTCATTTGAGTTCGGTGCATTTTCTTCAGTAAGGACAAAGAGTCTGCCACGAGAATCTTCTTGCAGCCTTCACGAAGCAGAATCTAATACATACATTGTAAGAAAAAGCCATTTTTAAAAGACTGAAATAATGGGGCAAACCCTCTTACTGGGGATTCAGAACATGGGTGTGTTTGAAATCGTCCAATGAGGCACTCACCCTTGCCTGTCCCTGGTACGCTTTTCCCTCCAAACCCACCTTTCCAGCCTCCATTCGGTCACCACTGCACGTATGTGGTGCTTGTGAAATTAAATACAAATTGCAGTCTGGCAAGGAAGGCTGTGGTAACCAACCCTAACATCATCTTACAGAGCTTCCTAATGCGGACTCTCTCTGGCAGTTGGGCCCCTAAGTGACCTGCTCGTTCCAACCTCCAGATCTTTGCCCAGGATGGAAAACCTGCTATCCCCAAATCCTCCATTTGATAAATCCCTCTCTCTACTACACTAATCTATGCTGGGTCCCTATCATGTACAAGGAACAGGGCACAGAGAAACTAAACAGATGTGATTTCTGTCCTAAATCCCCTCTGCTATAATCGCTCTTTCCTTCCAATCCAAACTGTTGAGCATAGTGCTAAGAATGTAAAGTGTCCCTGGTAACCGTCAAATCTGGTGACTCTTAAGCGGCTGACAACTGAAAAATGACCACTGATAGCATTGTTACAAGATTCATTTTCTTCACCCTAGTACTGCACTTTCTGTTGCTTTATGCATTTTTTTCTGTGATGCTGTCTGCTTAATTCTGAATTTTCTCCCTCCCTGCCTGGAGAATTAGGAGCAGCCGCAACACTGTAGCAGCTTCGGAAGTCAGGATGCAGAGGGCAGGCTGCCGTGCCCGGTTGGCACCCACTCTGTGTTCCAGAGCCAGGGCGGGATGCAGATAAAGACGGCCCACCTGCTTTCAGTGAGGACACAGCGCCGAGAGGCAACCCACCCTACGTTCCACTCCGTTCTGCTGGCCCCAGGGTGACTTCCAGCCTGTTCTGGGTTTTCTCAGGTGTTTTATTAGACACTGGGAGAGGCTGTGTAAGGTGTGCTTAAGCTAGATGCTTTTTTTTTTTTTTTTTAACGAGAACTAGTTGCTTTTCGAAGAGGGAGGTGCTCAAGGCCTGAAGGGCACAGAGGCTCTCTGTCGCACTGTGGCCCGCTCTTCTGGCCCAATGGCTCTTACTGCACGTGTCTCTGGGCACTCACTCGTAGTATTTTCTAGGAAAAACTTGAGTATTCAGAGACACACAGCCAGGAGAAGGGAAAACACACAAATACTGCTTAGTATGTGACTTTCTACTTCATCTGATCCAAGTCCAAGGCCCCCAAATCAGAAAAATACAAAAACGTTTTCATTTACATGATGCCAGACAGGTCGCTATACCAAAAAAAAGTGACTACCCCCTGTGGGAAAGAGCCATTTCTTCCCTAAAACCTGTAGTGATCTGAAGGCAACCAGAAGCAGTGAGAGAAAGACGGTACATGAACACTGTACCATTATCCGGGTATTGCTTTCAGTCAGACAAGGCATTCGGTCAACTATGGATTATTCCCTGAAGCAACCATCAGTGACTCACGAAAAACGTGCTGTAGTTATCACTTTATCATCGATTTCACCCTTAAAAGTTCATACTTGGTACTTTCCACAAATGTCTTTTTTTCTTTTAAAGATTTATTTGAGAGCGAGTGCGTGCGTGCATGCGTGCGCATGGGAGGTGGGGAGGGGCAGAGGAGAGAGAGAATCCCAAGCCGACTCCCGGCTGAGCACAGAGCCCAACGCAGGGCTCGATCTCACCACCTGGAGATCATGACCTGAGCCGAAACCAGGAGTCGGACACTTAACCGACTGAACCACCCAGGCGCCCCCGACGGCCCTTATTAAAACACTGACGGCGGAGTCAAAATCAGTCCTCTTCAACCCTCTCTGACCTTCACATTCATGATTCCTGACAACTTCTGTCTTCTGAGGTCACCATACACAGCCTGCTCCCCCTGTGGATGCTCACCTTCCACGGCCTCCTTTCCAGCCTTGCAAACTTGCTGTTATTCACACACTTGGGGCACACGCACGCTCTCCTTCCATCCAGGTCTTTATGACCAGAATGGCATCGAATCACTGCCACTCACATTCTGAATACCATCCGCCATTACTTTCTGCTACGTTTCATTTTAAAATGTGAAATACCGTTGGGGCGCCTGGGTGGCTCAGTCGGTTAAGTGTCCAACTCTTGATTTTGGCTCAGATCACGATCTCCAGGTTGTGGGATCGAGCCCTGCGTCAGGCTCTGCCCTCAGCACAGAGTCTGCTTGAAGTTCTCTCCCTCCCTCTGCCCCTCCCCCTGCTTGCATGCACTCTCTAAATCTTTAAAAACAAGTATGAAGTACTGCAAACACACAGCATACAACACTTCACTCTCTTCCACTTAGGTTGAACAGATCTGTTAAGATGTTACCATGTGCTTCGGATTTATTTCAGAACAATCTTGTGCCTTTCCTCCTCCTCAGTAAACACAACTTCAACTTTGTTCAGTGGGTGTCCAACTAAAATAGGCAGCTGGCTCGAGTTCCTGCCACAGATCTGGGCAGTGAGAGAAACCTGGGAGGCTGGGAAGCCATCCTTTGCAAAACTATTGGACAGTCTTAAAAAATTAAGCATATACCTGCTCCATGACCCAGCAGTTTCACTCATAGGTACTTACCCAAGATGAAAAGCAGATCCTCAAAAGAACTGTATGAAAATGTCCTTTGCAACTTTATCCTTAATAGCCCTAGACTGGAAACAGCCTAAATGTCCATCTACAGGAGAATATACCTCCAGGTCGCTGCCTCGTGGCCACAAACTAGAGGCTGTATCTCTAGGCCTCACATCCACATTCCCAGGCAGGAAGATGTGGGAAGCAAAGGGCTTTTTTTTTTTTTTTCCCTGATGAGGCTTTGCTTTATTATTTGGGAAAGTGGTTATACTATTTTACATCCCCACATATTAAAATTTAGTATCTGATACCCTCCTTATTCTTCTTGGATAATCTTAGCCATTTGCTTTTTACATAAATTTAGAACTGTAAAAAGTTCTTTGGGGGTTTTGATTAGAATTTTATCAAACATATAGATGATGATTACTTTAGAATTCATGACATTTATGATATACACATTCAATAATTACATGGTCAGATTCAGTTTGCTAATGATTTATGTAGACTTTGCATTTGTGTTACAGAAACAGGGCTCTAATTGTCTCATCCGATGCTGGAAAGGTTAGACCAGCATCCCCTGAGGAACTGAGGAGCTTCTCCATTCTGTTCTCTGGAAAAGTTGATGTAAAATAGGGGCTGCCTGGGCTTTTGTTTTGTCTGTTTTTTAGGCTTTACTCCTTATTTGTTCAGATGAGCAGGAAAGCAGTCTTCAAGATGTTGGTTTCTCTCTAATGAATGTTATTGCCCTTCCAGTCACTGACTCAACACGGCAGGGCTGGGACACCTCCCAGCATCCTCCTCCTCTTCCTTAAAGCTGATGGGACCTCAGGTGTTACTTCCGTCCATCGTGTCCTGAGGAAAGACTGCGTTTCTCACCCCCCTCTGCTGGGTAAAGGTGTTGTCCCTCCCTCCTCCCCGCCAGGTCCTGGTTGAAAGGTCAACTACAAAACATATTTGGGGATTGCCTGTTTTTTTAAAAGTCTGATGAAACTAACCTCTGAAGTTGACTGTGGAATAGTACTTTTATTGTGGCTTTATGTTTTGACTACTTATTTAATGACTATAGGTCTATCTGCTCTTGAGAAAATGTTGGTAATTTATATTTTCCTAGAAAATTGAGTTTTCAAATATACTGATATAAAATTGTAGCATTTACTTAGTTTTTAAGTCTTGTCTACACCTTTAGTTATGTTCTCCCATGTTTGTTCCTAAAATATATATGTCTTCTTTTTCTTGATCAACTTTGTTAGAGGTTTTCCTATTAGTCTTTTGATTCTCTCCTCCACAAGTCCTGTGGTTGAGGACGTGTGTATTCTAACCACTGTTAACCACTCTTATTTTCTTTTTGAGATTTTATTTATTTGAGAGGGTGAGTGAGCAAGCGAGCACACAAGTGGGGGCAGAGAGAGAAGGAGAAGCAGACTCCATGCTGAGCAGGGAGCCCAACTCAGGACTCGATCCCAGGACCCTGAGATCATGTCCTGAGCCAAAGGCAGACGTTTGACCGACTGAGCCACCCAAGCGCCCCTGTTAACCACTCTTATATCTTCTATCTCTTAATTACTCTGCTGCATACTAAACAATGTCATCAGATCTTCCAGTTAATTCTCCCTTTCAGCCAATCTACTATTGGCCTTGCACTGAATATTGATAATTTAAATGAATACACACATAATTTCAAAGAGTTCTATTTGGTTACTTCCCAGATATTCCTATTTTCTATCATATTGTTCTACTTTTTATTACGGGGTCTATTTTGTCTTTCATGTCTTTGTTTTAAATGGACTTATTAATAACATGTTTGAGACTGATCTTGTTTTCCAGTTCTTGGAAATACTAAGATTGTCATATCATTTTTCATTCTTCCGTGTAATCTATATCTCAAATTAGAATCTATATCTCCTATTAGAATTTCACCAAGGTAAGTAAACCAGTGGTCTCTTCTTTCCTCAACTTCATAATGGCATCAAGCTTTCATCTCAAAAAGTACTTGTGGGCATTGCGGGCAAGTACAATATTATCTTTCAGAGATTCATTTCTCTTATGGGACTTCTTATTTTTTTCTTCCCACCAACTCTTGTTTTCTTATCATTACACTGTTTTCTCCATAGTGCAAAGCTTTTCAGCATTACCTTTATCCTTTTATCCTCATCATTTTCAAGTCAGCCAGTTGTAGGGTCTATAATCAATCTGTTATAAGCATACCTTGTTGTATTGTAAATTTAAGAATGTAATTATAAGATAGCTGTTGAAAACCAACATGAGACTCTAGATTCTCCCTCTTTTTCCTTATTTCTCTGTAGTTCATCATCGATGATAATCCCAATGAAAAGCAAAAAGCACCAAACTCACTGATATTTTATAAAGCAATAAAAAACTGTACATCAGTGAAGTTATTATGTTCATTAGAAACAGCTGCTGTGGGAAAAATGCCATAAAAAATTGCAGAGTTTCTGAAATTTTTATTTTAAAAGATTCTTTGAATGTTGAACTTTTTGCTGACATTGCCTTGTTCATACTGCAGTGCTTATCATTAGAACTACAAACGGCAGATAGTTACCTGGGTTTATAAGCCCCAGTATGATACAAGAGCTAACCTGGGAAACCACTTTACCTAATTTCTAATCTATCATATAGGCTATGATGCTATGGGATCTGAATTCTAATTGAAAAGCTTTGCTTTTTGTTGGGATTATCATCGTGAACTGCAGAGAAATAAGGAACGGCTCTAAGGTCTCCTGTTGGAGCTCAAAAGCAGTATTACAAATACAACCACATCTGAATTTATGACAGCACAAAGTACACAGGTGCCAGACTGACTCAAGAAGCTACAGTGGTTGCCACAGGCCACCTAGGTCACCTGAAGGCTGTGATAAGGCCAAACAGAAACAATCTGAAAGGAAAAAAAAAAAAAACATTTTAAAAGTTTATTTCAGGGATCTATAAATTTAAAAAGTACCTCTTAGAAGAAATTAAGAGCTTATGTACTGTGAACGAGAAGAAACCCATCTGAGTCCAAAAAAAAGTAGGTAAGAAAGAAGTCACTATTTCCTCTTAATTCATCTGTCTCTGGATGTCAAAGTAGAGAGAAGAGGAACAATACAGAAATATGGCGTGACCTAAAGGCCTGTTTCTGAAAGGACTCCATTAAGAACTTGAGACACAGAAGATACTTTAGAGATCACCTAATCTTGAGGTTCCTGAATGTCAAATGTCAGTGCATAGCCTGGTGCTGGGCTGAGTGTAAGAAATCTCAAGGTGATTTAAGGACATAGTCCCCAAGTCCTGTCCGCTCCCACCTCCCCCCGCCGCCCAAAGATTCTAATCTAGCAGATCTGGGGTGGTACCTGAAACAAAGTAATTTTTTAAAAAATTTAGATAATTCTGGTGTGGAGTCAGGCTTGACAAACACGGACTTAATCTAATGGGAAAATTGCGACCCAGAAAGGTTGGGTGCCCTCCCGAAGGTCAGCAGGTTTGCTGATGGGAAAGCCAGGCCTGGAGTCCAGCTCTGCAAACATCGTGTCCACCGCTCTTCAGAGACAACAGGCTGCCTGTTCGAGCCTGTGTAGTCCTCTGCTGGCGTACCCTGCTGGGACAAGGAATGCCTCTCCCGAGACCACGGAACAACCGGCGGTCTACACAAGACGTAGGCAGAGGATCTGGCCTCAAACCCAGTTCATCACTTTCCCAGACAGGCCAATCCTTTAACCCCGAGACAGTCTTCCCATGTGTGAGACTTCCTAACGACCACCATGGAGATGGTGGTCTCCAAAGGCCAGAAGAACAAAGATGCTGGAATTCTTAAGGGGAGAAAGTACGAAACCAGAAAGGGATATAAATGCTAAATTTATAAGTAAAAATATTTTAAAAATATAAAGTATAAAAATAAATTTAAAGCATAAAAATAATTTGGAAATTGTTGTCAGTTTAATGTAAATACTGAAATGTCATTTATACCATGCTATTTGGCAAATAATTTTTTTCAAAACAACAAATGCTAGCTGTCCTTGAAATCAGGCCTAGAAACTAAAATGTTTCTATCATACTTTATGAAGTATGATAAGGGCTACTTTTATCTTACTGACTTCATGAAGCTTTCAAAATTTGTTGAGTAATTATACTAACAGTGTAAGAAGGTATAAAAATATATGAAAATAAATTCAGAAACTTCAACATTGAAATCCCAGTTGAGGACCTATTTTCCTTCACTTTAATGATGTCACAGACCTCTAACACGACTCATGTTAAAATTCAGTTGAAGAAAGTTTTTGCATTTTAGGAAACCTAAAACTTTAAAACCAGAAGAGAGACTGATTTAAAGTTTTTTTCCCACAGCTTTTCCTGCCTTCTGTTTCCAATTGGCTTTTAGCTAGTAGAAAGCTCCCAAAGCCATTTTCAGTGCCCCAAGTATGTTTTCCAGTGCTGCATGCTTTATCATAAATCTGCCCGAAAGAGAGATTCCCAATGCATATTAGCAAAAGGTCCCAAGAAGCCCTTTCCCTGACATCTGACCATGGATCCTTAGGTTTGCTGAATGGTTCCTAACAGCCCCCTGGGTTCCTTCCCTGCTGCCCTGCCCAACAGAGGAGGTTCCAGGTTCTCACAAATTCATGAACCTGGAAAATTTCCCCCCAGTTTTGGGGATTAACAGGGTTGGCCATTTTTTATCCTGTGAGAACATGTGAAAATCAACTATACTTTCATGGAACAAACAAAAGAGACCAGACAGAGTAAAAAATACGTATGTGAAACCTTTCTGGAAACTTCAAGACGCTCTATATTTTTTATAGTGATCTCTGACAGGTGGCCCACAGAAAGAAAATAAATGGTCATTAATGCAACAGTAGCCTTTTCCATAGAAAAAACTTCTAAACTGTCTCTTCATATATAAGAAGGAAGTACCCCTGGGAACTGTTTGAACCACCTGCCCAAGGTGAGCGGTTTCTCTCTGCACCTTCCAACAAGCCCTCTGAGCTGCAGCGGGGACCATGGGGGCCGTTCCCACAGGTTTTGCCGCCTTCCCCGCCGGTCCCTCCCCCCCCGTCCCGGACGCCACTCCCCGGTCAGGGTTAATGGATCCACTGGCTGAGTAACCCCCAGCCTCCTCAACGCATCACCAACTGCACACTTCCACGTCTTAAGGTAAAGCTCTCAACATTTAAAAATATAATGAAGTGGATAAAATATTGATTTAGCAGCTGTTTTTGTGGATGATTTTTTAGTTGGAATACATCTAATAATTTATTTTTATTCCCGGCTGACTCACAACTATGCAAATTTATTCATAAAAATGAATGAACAGTGAGACCCAGTGATGCCCATGAGCCTGGTTCTCTGGATTGAGAGCCTAGTAAGAGGGATTTATTAGGTGTTTCTGTAGGCACTGTAGAGGCTGGAAAAAAAGTAAAAATTTTCAGCCTGGAGGCCAAGCTTCATGCACTTCTAAGCGGGAAGACAGAGGAATGAGCATTTTGTCACCTTCCCTGTGGCAGAGACACCACACCTAAATGACTTCTCAACACATTCGGATTTGAAACTTTGAGCAGGTCCTGGCATACAGAGTGGTAGACAGAGCCAGTGACAGGTCATCATCAAGCTCACTCACACCCAGAGCTTTAGGAGGTCGGACACTGAAACCACTTTCCCCAAAGTCCAATTCCCACCTCGGAAACAGTGCACTATTCCCACATCGCAAGCTCCCCCTGCCCCTCTGCTTGCTTATTCACCCATTCCCCTACTACCCTCTCCTCCCTGCCCTGCTCTTTCTCTCTCCCATCACCCCTTTCCCAGGGTTGTCTGCAGACCTCCCAATTCCTCTGTTAATAAATACCTGCATATCGTGAAGCTTTCTGCAGAACAGACCCTCTACCTCTGCTTTAACCAAACACCTATTTCTCTCCCAGGACCCTGACTCCCCATGAGCCCCCCTGAGGAAGGCTCTTGTCTTCCTCCACCCTGCCCGCAGGAAAACCTCTTCTCCTTCAGGCTGTACTACCCAGTAATCCAGCCCCAGTGCACGGGAGCTGAGCCTCCCAGTTCATGGAGAGTGCTGGAACCCGGCTACAGCCCTCCCACTCCCGTCCCTCAATGCCCACAAGGATGACGTGCTGCCCTCACAGTTCCTCGACAAATTCCACTCCAGTGACCCTTACCTTCCTGAACAAGCTCACCAGGACTCCGTCAGAAATGTTAATGTACCAACGTCTCACTCCCAGAGCACGCTCTTGTTCCTCAACTCCGTCATTCCTTACACCTCTCACTTCTCTTCTTGAGGCCCTCAATCTTCCCCAACTTCTATTCCTTTTACCCTGCCTCTTATCTGAGTCCCCCACCCCGAGGGCAGCACCCCACCCTACCATACTGCACCCTCACAGTGGCCAGGGGCCCCACAAATCCTCATCATGATGCTCCTCTCCTTACTTAACCTGGTAACCACTTCTCTCCCTACGATGTTATCTTCTGGCTCTCCCCGCAAAATCTTTATGTTTCCAGAACAGCAATTTCCTCTGTTATTATAATAAAAACTCATTTTCAAATGAAGTTGAGAAAGAACAGTCCAAATAGTTAAAGAAATGTGCCTTAAACAGTTTCAAGTTCTATGGAAGCTACCGGCATCCTGAAAAACAGTAATTGTTAGAGTCCTTTTAAGGAAAAGATTAGGATGCTTTGTAATTAGCATATTAACTATATGAAAATAATGGGTTCCACTGCTTTTATTACAAATTCTGAATTACTACAGATAACAAAGTTGTACTAGTCTAGAAAACAGACAAAAAGTTAAATAAAATCATGTATTTCAACATGTTTCAGGCAATGGATTACTGAATAGCTTCAAGGAAATAACTGAATTATTTGCAAAACTTTTTTTAATTCCCCCCCACCCCCCAATGGACACAATACTTAGGCTACTTAAAACTGGCTTGAGGGGTCTGACAGCCACTGTAACTACCCCTCGCCCTTCCCAATGCCATGCTGTAAATGTAAATGTATAAATGTAAAATGTAAAAGTCCCTGCTCATCAAGGAGAGAAAACTTGGAGATTGTTAAAAAACTGGATGGCTTCCTTAAAGGATGAGATTTCTAGTTTCTCTACCTGATGAGCTTCCCAAATATCTGGGCCTAAATAAAATGTAACAATCCAACTGAATTCTTTATCTAAAATAACCCCAGAAATGTTTATCCGCAAGTCAACTCAACTCACTCCCCATGCGGATTTGTCCAAGAAAGGACACTTACTTGCAAATTGTAGTCTTGCAGAATTTTAACCAAGGAATCTCTCAAATTGGGGATCTCCATCCCTTCCTTAATGCGGTGAATCAGGAGAATTGGGTCCACATGCGTGCCGATGTTGTTTAATAAGCCAGTAATAAATGCTGCAAGACACCACATGAAACAATTAGCACATCAGCAATGTACATAATGCAGTTTTAGGTCAAAAGGAACTCAAAACATTATTTCCTTTAAAGTAAGTGTTAAAACCATTTGCATTTCCGAATTCTCAAAAACTAACTTTCCTTTTATTTCATGATGTAAAGGAGAAGCTCCGGGAGTGAAAAAGAGCCGGAGGACAGGCGATGATTCAGAACACAGCCACAATGGGCAAAGGGGTGCAACTGACATTTATTGAGCATTTACACTACAGCTCAGCTGTCACACACTTTTCTCCAATATTCTGCAAGGTAGGAATGTTATTTGTCCCCATTTTACAGGCAAGGGAAATAGGCTGGTTAACTAATTCATTCCGGGCCACAGAGCTAGCAAGTTAAAAGCCAAGTTCGCTGGCAGGGCAGACCGCAGGTCCCGGTCATGACGTGTTCCATTGCTCCCACCCTGCGTCCTTGGAGGTCTGTAAATTACAACTTTATCATGCTAAGCTAGATTCTCAAAGGTGCATATGCACGTGACGATCTACACCTGAATTTGACCTGAGTAACATTATCCTCTTGTAGCTCTTCTGAAAAGACAGTCAGTCGTAAGAGCAATTTCTAAAACTTGAAAATCCTGAAACAGATAAGCCTTCTTCCTAAAAAAATGAAGGGAGGTGGGGGGCAGACTTTCAACCACTACTGCCGGTTTCTGAATCATTTCTAGATCTTCAAACGAGGGCTCAGGTGACCCTGTATTTCTTTCCAAAATGGCAGACGCAATGGAGGCGGCCACGGGGAGGCGGCACACACAGTCCTGGTGCCGCACGGAGGGAGCGGGCCAGGACGGAGACTAGGTACCACCACAGCAAACATCCAAAGATGGCCAATGGCCAGTGACAGTCCTAGGTTTCCATAAAAAGAGACTGGTAAGGGCTTTACATTTTCACAATAAATGCCCCTGTATCCAAACTGAAAAAAAACAAAACTAAGGTCACATTTATTCAGTTGGGGTAGAGCATGTAGGAACGCGCTTATGGGGACAGGGTGAATGAGTATCATCAGCTTAACGACCCGTTCGTTTGCACATTCAGGCTTCTCTGCACAGGAGGAGGACTGGAAATCATTAGAATGTACCTAGCCTGTTTTGGTTATAGATACTTCACCATAGTTTTCACCCAATGCGTCTTGAGATAATTCTTACTCTAGACTTAACTAGAAGTATTGAAAGAAACAGATCTGATCGCAGATGGCTTTTCTGCTTACGTGGTTTGTCGATGGAATATAAAATCAGATCTTCCCAGAGTTCTCCATCGTCTTGCTCCTTGGCAAATTCAATTGCTTTATCAACATCATGTAATTCCTCCATGATCATCTTCAGGGCACTTCGGCTATTACCCATTCGGCCTAGCAAAGATGTGAGAAATACTTCATTCAGGATTTAGGATGTTTTAATAAATCATTTTTAAAGAAACAGCATAGCTCTTGTTTACATATCTCTTGTCTTAAAAACTGAGACAAAAGCATATTTTCTTATGGGGCATCAGCATTTACCGTTTATAACAGTGAAATAATGATCTCCTATTTACTGGGTGTGTTCTTTGTGCTGAATACTCATTTAAGTGCTTCACATAAATTACATCATTTAACCATCACTATAATCCTATGAGGTATGCTCTACTACTATTTCTACTTTATGGAAGAGGATGCAGAAACATTAGTGACTTGCCAAGATCATACAGCTGTAATCTGAACCCCAGGTCCGTCAGATTCCTACTTCCCTCTGACAGACCTATATTTCCTTTGGACACCTTCATACCCAGACATAGTTAAGACTTATAAAGGCTTTGGAGCCATTCTGTGTCTTTAAGTAGTTTTGGATTGGCTCTTTTGATACACTTTGTGCCAAACACACACTCAACTATCAGAGGGCTACCTCATTTCCTTCTCTTCCAAGATCGGGGGAAAGCCTTCCGACGACCCTCATTAAGTGAAAGTATTTACCAACTATGCTTCTATTTGGCCAATTATCTTTACACACTTGGCTCGTTGCTCTATTGGCATTTTAATGGCTTTAACAGTTTCCCTGAGCTTTTAATACAGGACATGTAGAAAGCTTTATTCAGAGGAGGGACAGCAACTGGATCCTCCTCATTCTGAGCAGCCATTATCAAAAGACAATAGCGGGCCTGTGAATAAAATGATATCCAATTTGTTATACCTTCTACAGCATTTTGTTTTCCCAACAAATATTATTCCCATTGTTTAGGTCTTAAAAATGGTTAATTTTTAAAATGTGTATAGGATTTTTAAATTTTTATAACTTCAAAAAAGGAGATTATGTCTCCCTTTGTAAGTTCTCTACTTGTCTACTGAGACAATAGGACATTATGACGAAAATGAACTCTACCGGAGTATTTTCTGGGACGAGATGCTGGAGAAACACCTCATGTTCGAACTCTGTGTTTCTGCAACAAATCCCTGCACAGAGCTTCCTTAGGAAACCTCTAGGCTTCTAAACTGCTTTCGTGCAAGTGGTTCATTTTGGAGGAAGGTGAAAGATAGTAAGTGGGACTTACATGGAGGCAACACCAGAGGCCCAGGGACCACGGAGAGCTAAACGATACCAAAGGCTTCCTTCTACACTCAAAACGTCCATACTCAATTGCATTTTCTCCAGTTATTTAAGGTGCGATCAGTGACAATGAACAGTATTTTCTACGAGGATGATGGTAAAATAAGCTGATAATTTTTTTAAAAAAAATGAACAAACTCGTCAACCCCTCTACAAACTCATTTGTGAGGTGTGAGCCAATACAGGCTTGTTTATTATGCAATTATTCAGATGTTATTTCAGCAGCATTTATTAAATAACGCTTCTTTCTCTACTGAGCTGTGAAGTCCCCTTTTCTATGCATTAAATTCTTAAAGAGAACAGGCTCTATGCTTTGTGTGACTCTGGTCCATCTAAAACCTATGTCCATTCTTAGACAGTGTACACGACGACGTTACCACAGTGTTTCTCAGCTTATAGGGACCAAAAGTAAAGCTACTTACTCAGAAGATAAACCGTCTCTTCTACAAAGTTTCTCTGTTGACAGATCTCAAGAGCCTTTAAGTAAAGCAGGGTAAAAATGTTACTATGAGTTAACAGACACGCATAAATATTAATAGATTCACTTAAACATATGAGTTTGAAAGAAAGTTTCCATTGCCTTCCTTTAAAAACAAAGTAAACAAATGAAGCACAAATCTTGGGTTTTGCTAGCAGGTGGCTGTCCTCATTCACCTCTCAGACAGGTGCCGGACTGAACACAATTTAACCAAGAACACATGGGAGGCAGCTCAGAACACTCCGGAGGCAAAGGTGGTAAGCCAGGGGCTGAAAAGGACTTTCCCACCAAGCTTTCTCTTGATGCTACTTTAGGTGTCTTCACAGCACTGTGCCCCCCCCGACTCCCCATCACTGCCTTCAGCTCCCTTAACCTCCACTGGAATGTAAGCTCCGGGAAGGCTTTGCTGTTCACGGCCGCGTGTTCCCAGTACCGGGCAGACCGCGGCTCGGGAAACATCCGATGCATAAATAAACACACAGATGGACAGAATATTTCTATTCCTGGCTCACAGGGCTTAAGAGAAAACTCTGCTCAAGCATCTGTCAGAAGTTGAGAGTGGGAAAAACGTATCTGACCATCAAGAAGGCTCAAAAAGGAAGAGATCAAGTAAAGAAACGAGGGACTCCATAGGTGACTGCATTTCCTTGGGCATAAGAAACAAGCCACGCCGTGTTCATAAATAACTGCATATTGTAAATGAAGTGGCACACATTTACCATACACTCCGCTGGGCACTGGAGGTTCAGGTTGGACAGAGATGCAAAGAGGGGCCACGCAGATGCTGCTGCTGACGGCAGGGGAGAGGGGTGGAGGGAAGGTGTGGAAGCAGCACGCAGTCCCCCCCTCCCCCCGCCACAGGGAGCGCAGGCTCCGGGGAGGCTTACAGAGACGCAGTAACACCCAGGGCCAGGACCGGGGGCAGCGTGGAGAGAGGGCCGTGCGCAGAGACACGGGACATGGGGTCGGGGGTGGCGGGGGGGCTCTTGTAAAAAGCTTCACAGCAGAGGCGGCATCTGAACTGGGTGCAGCGTGACCAGTAAGCGATCCCCAGGAAACCTCACCTCCCACCCCACCTATGTGACCTCCCTGCCACGGTGCTCCACTCTAACGTACGGCCGAGAATCTTCGAGAATCCTCACTGTGGCCTATGAGACATCGGTGACCTGCCCTGCCTGCCTGGGCAGCCATGCCTCCCTCACACCCTGCTCCCGCCTCCACTGTGATCCCTCCGCCTGGAATGCTACCCTCACTCCCTACCCTCCACCCCTGACGAGTGCTTCAGGCGATTACTCCTCGGACCCCACACCACCCACTCCAGGTCCCAGGGAGCCCCCCTCGCGGCAGCCCGCACGCTTCTTCCCAACCAGTTAACGACTCCACGGCCCATGACCCCGTGGCTGGGGCCTGGCTACTTGTGTGGGGGGTTTGCAGTACCTATTTCTTTAAACAGATGAGCAGGCAGAAAAGGTTTCAGGAGGAAGATCACTGGGCTGTGTAGTTGCAGTAGTCATTTACCAACAACCAGCCGGTTAATACCAGGACAACCAGGTATTACTATTACCAGGGAAATAATAGCAGGAGCTGGTTTGGGCATTTTGATTTTTGACTTAAAATTTTTGTGTAGAATATATATTTAAGTGTGTGTCTCTGGTTGGAGAGTAACAGCTAAAAGGGAGGAAAAAATGCTGATCACAGAAATCAATGCTGGGGGCCGGGGTGGGGGGAATCCTGAACCACACATAAGAAAAGGAAAGAACACCTTATTTTAGAATTACAGTGAAATTAGGGTGGAGTTTGAAGAACACAAATCATGAAAATGAGGAAGTGAGAACACAGAAAGGTCACAATGAGGAGGAAACTATTAATTTGATTACTTAGAAGCCTCCTTTGACAGTTATGTGGCAGAGACAGCCAAACTGTCCCCTAATATCCTTTACCCATTTCTTGAGTAGTAAGATTTTAGGTGGGTGTGTGACTGCCCAGAATTTAAAGAACCATCTCCAAGTCCCCAGCCTGGCTGGGAGAGCCGTGTGATGGATGTCCCCACAGGGAGGAAACGGCAACATGGTAGCTTCTGGCAATATTCTTTAAGAAGCAAGGCCAGACATCCCTTTGTTTTCTTATTTTTAGTCCTTTCACCCAATCTGCTCCTGGAAACATGAATGGTATTATCTTACACCACAAGCTGAAGGTCATACAAGGTAAGGGAACGAGAGAAAAGAGCCCAGGTCTCCAACTGCGTGGCTTGCCACCAGGACTTCCGTGGGCCAGAGAACTAAACTGCTACTCTGTTGAAGCCACTGTTATCTGGGGATTTTTCTCACCCATAGCTGAACCTGTTCCGAACACTTAGAAAACTCTCCATTCGTTTTGATTAAAAACACGATTTACCTTATCTCTATACTGTCATGCCCATTAATCAATCATCATTATACACAATGGAATTTTCTTACCTACTCCTTACCCTTCTGGAATGATACTAGACCAGAGACAGGATACCCATGTGAGAAGTAGACAGTGAAAGGAAACAGCAAAAAACATGAAGTTCAGAAGACCTGGGACCATTCCACCAAAAAGTTACTGAGAAACCAACGGAGTGCCTTGATCACACGAGCTGCGAGAGATAGAGACGGACAGTTTGCGGCGCAGCGAGACCATGTCGCACACAGATAAACAAGAAAATGTAATACGAGTGGATAGGTAGAGCGTTTAGAGAAGGAGACTGTGAATAAAGATGAGTATACTGCCTAAATTAGTTTTTACTGAAAGGTATCCACAAATCAATTTTGTACTTGGAAATTTACCGACACTTCAAAGTACCATTCAGAAGTTTCCAACAAAACCATCCCCCCTTCTCTTGAAGATCTGCGAACATACCTGCCTCCAACCACACAGACCTGGTAGTCTGCAGGCTCACCTGAGCTAAGACAGGAGCCACTTGTTACATGGGGCCATTTAAATTTAAATTTAAAATGCAGTTCCCCACTAGACATGTGGCTGCTGCTACCTTGTCAGAGCAGCACATTTTCATCCCTGCAGAACATTCTATAGGATGGTGCTGCTGGAAGCTCTTAGGATATCATCAAAAAGGACAAGTCCTATGAGAAGAAACGTCTAAAGGCAAGTCTGAAGTCAAGAAGGGTCTGGAATGCAAGCAGATGTGTCACACCAAGCTCAAACATAATCTGAGTCTCTGAAATTTGAGTTTCACAGATTTTTTAAATGTTTTATGTCTAGTTCCTAACAGTACTGAAATTATTCTTTTCTCCTATATGAGAAAGCAGAGACTCTAGAAATCTCTAGAAATTTTGAGTAAAATGTAAAAAGAAAATATTTCTGGTACAAAGAATTTTTCTATTACTGATACAAGTGAAGCATAAAACCACGTTTCCCTAGATTCTTGAATGTTCCTGGGCCACAATGCTCCCTCTAGAGGAAAGAGTAGCGAAACTAAGATTTTTAAAGTCCAGAGGAGGGAGACAGACACAGACACACACATGGAAAGGGAGAATCATAGTAAAAATAAAAGTGGAAAGACAGAATAATGACAGAAATTGAGTAAAAAACGATGCAAAAGTAATGTTTTAATTCTCCTTTTCCTGATTTAGTGTAAAGGCAAGGAAAAGAGTTAGAGATTTGGGGGTAACTAACCAGAACCTGATCAACTATAAATTAAATAAGGATTTCCACCCAGCCTTGACCCTGCCGTCATTTATGAAGTCTTCTTACACGGCATTAATGGGAATCTGTAAACGTTGCATCTCCCAGCTTTATTCCCACAAATTCGTAACTACTGCTGCCTTGTAAATGCCATTAGATATGAGAGAAATCATAAATTCAGGTATAAAGTCCCAAAGCTGCAGAGCCGACATTCTGCTTTTAACTATTCTAGGCATAAGGAAATGAGATTTGTAAATGAAAACTAGCACCTGATGATCACGCCTGGAAATTATAGAAGGACAGTTTAATAGCTTAAAAACTGATGTCTTTCATGATTCCTGCAATACTAAGGGATATATTTTTTAAGATTTATTTACTTTATTTTTTATTATTATTTTTTTAATCAGAAAGAGAGAGAGAGCACAAGGAGGGGGAGTGGCAGGCAGAGGGAAAGGGAGAAGGAGACTCCCCGCTGAGCAAGGAGCCCGATGCGGCGCTCAATCCCAGGACCTTAGGATCATGACCTGAGCCAAAGGCAGCCGCTTAACTGGCTGAGCCACCCAGGTGCCCCAAGATTTATTTATTTTAGGGAGAGAAAGGAAAAGAGAAGGAGAGTGCGAGTGCACAAGTTGGGGGAGGGCCAGAGAGAGAGAATCTCAAGCAGGAGCCCCAAAGGGCTGGATTCCAGGACCCTGAGGTCATGACCTGAGCTGACACCAAGTCAGATGCTTAACTGACTGAGTCACCCAGGCGCCCTACAATTAACACCTTAAACCTGAGAAGTGATTCCTCACCATTGTGGAAAGATAGGGGACCTGACTTAAGAGATCCAGGTTCTAAGTCTTGGCCCTCTGCCTTATTAGCTGTACATTCTGGGTTGTTTCTTTCAACTCCTGAAGACTTAGCTGGTCGTGGATAAAATGACTTTATCCACCTACCTGTGCTTCTATAGAGATTAAATAAAAATAAGGTACATGAAAGCACAGCGCATGTTATAAAGCACAGCGGAAACTCCATAAATGGTTTTTATTGTCTTTTTATATGGCTGTCAGTGTTATAAATTCCTACCACCTCTGTATCTCCTTTAGAAGGCACAATTTCATAAAAGCTTATGATTAATTTTGGGATTTACATGTTGTGGTGATTTTAAATCCTGAACTCTGGTCTCTGATAAATGCCACTTTCTTAAAGGGCTTCTGATGTGATGGCAGGGTCTCTACAAAGTTTTTGACCAAATATTGATTGTGGGATTTCAATCAATTCAAACTAAGTTTGACTGGGATTCTTGAAGATTTCAACCAGCTGTCATTTGAAATCACCCCTCTCTCAACAATTACCCAAATCCCGGCAAAGGCAGACAACCAGAGGAAGAGAGAGCTGCTATTCTGCCAGAAGGGAATCATTGACAAGGGAGGGAGGGGATCAACATACTCTGAATAAAGCCATAAAACCTTAAACACTTCTCATTTAAAATAAAGCGACCACCAAAATTATCACCAAAGCATCTAATAGGACTAAACCTCTATATACTCTTCTGAAACAGAGATTTCTTTGGTGGGGCATTAAAATTTTAAGCTCTTCACTTTATATTTAGTAGAAAACGTTGCCAAATTTTCTAAGTCTCTCTCTAGACAAAACAGGTGAACCTGTAACTCATTATCTTCACTTCACAGTTAACAAGCCTGACATGCGTGTAAGGGGGACAAATCCACTTCGCTTTTTATAAATTGCTAGCTTTTTCAGGGTATAAGTAATACCCTCTTTAATGTGGTTTTACATACCTGAGCAAGGATAAGAATACATTTTTTTGCAAACATACAGATGGATATACACAATGGATCCTGATGAGAATCTCTTATGAAGAAACCTCAATGATCTGTAACATAACAGCTCACCTAGAAAAGTTCTAAAAGGGTAGGTTACTGACTTATTTTTAATGGCATGTTTCTACCATTACCAGCTCTAATTCATTTGTTTCAAAATTCTCTTTCAGTGGAAAACATGAGATAACTCTAAAAAAAAAAAAAACTATTGGAAACATAATCGATTTCACTATGCTTCTGTTGAGTTCTTTTACATGCAACTGGTTCTTGTCAGTGGATCACAGAGAATTCTAAAAGGTCTATACGATGCTCTAAGCAAGTTCTATGTATTAGAATGCCATGTGTAGGTCTGCAATTTCCTGATGCTCCCCTTTTAGGGAGAACAGTGTGCTTTCTGTTGAACACTACTAGACTGGGAAACTATAAACCAGATGGGTTGAAAGTGTGTGAGAAGCACAAACACACTGGAATCTGGGAAACCTCTGCACCCGAGTTTCGTGGATGGGAAGGAGCCAGGCTGCTGGTCACAGGTGTGCGGCTGAGGAGTCAACCAGAGATGCCCCAACCTCCTGGAAACAAATGACATCTCCTCAAAGAGTGAGATACAGATGAAGGGGCACTGTTCAAAGAATAAGATTCTCACTTTTCCCCCCTAGATTATAGATTCTGTAATGAGAAGAGGGAAACATTTGCTTTTATTTTTAGAGTAAGATGATGAATTTCCAAATTTATACTTGAGAAAATATCTTAGGACCCAAATTTAAAATGTTAAACTTTTTCATAAATTAAAATGCAGGCCAGATATTTTTTCATTAACTGTAGATTTTGAAAATCCACTGAGCTGAAATTGGTTCGTAATGAATCCAATACATTTATCAACATGGCTGAAGAAGCAACTATAAAAGCTGTCAGTTCACAGAAACAGCATGTTCTCAGTCAACTGTTTTTTTAAAAGATTTATGTATTTTGAAGACAGAGTGCGAGCGGAGAGGGGCAGAGGTGGAGGAAGAGGGAGAAAGAATCCGAAGTAGACTCGACCCTGAGTGCAGAGCCCCACGTGGGCTTGATCCTACGACCCTGAGATCATGCCTGAGCCGAAACCGAGAGTCGGGACGCCCAGGAGACTGAGCCACCCAGGCGCCCCTCAGTCAACTTCGTAATACATATCTCTAAGGGGTCAAATACATTTTTTTGTTTTGTTGATACATACAGCTGACTCCAAAGTACTTTCTATCTGGCCATCCGAATTTAGTAAGACACCCGTAGATGTTAGATCGTGTTCCAAACTGTATGAAGAACCACGGGAAACAGCACTGGGGGCCGCAGATTGCCCAGTTTCTAGTATATATGTGGTAAGTATCAACTGCATTCAAACAGCAGGCTCAAAACACTTACTAGTTCATAGGCAGCCCTGACTAGAATCTCGTATGTCTTCATTTATTCACTCCCTCCCTCCCTCACTCACGATGCAACACTAAGTGTCTAATGAGTGCCGGCTGCTGGGTTTACCAAAATGAGTGAGACAAACTACCTGTCCTTTAAGAATATACAGGACAGTGGGAAAGAGACTAGTAATTTCTCATCATTATAATGGAATGCAGTACAATAGAGAAATGGAACGCAGTGTGAGAAACACAGAAACAGAACATGTGGCTGTGGAGAGCAGACAGGGGACAGGACCCAAGTTACGGACCTTGAGTCTGGGGCAGACGCCTCTGGCTTGGGCTGGCCTGGGTCTCCCTCCCAGGGCGGTCTTAGGCCCCACTCTGACCCTGGTAAACGGACTCAGACTCCTGACGCTGTTTTTGCCTGGTGGTTGATTGAGTCCTCCACCCCGGATTAAGCCTTTATTCTAATTCAACCTGGCAGAGAAATGCTTCAGCTGCTCAATAAAATCTCCGCCGAAAGGCCTTCCAATCCTTATCAGAAGGCCCCAGCGAAACCTCCCGCTGTGAGAGCCGCCATCACTCCTTGAACAGGGAGGGATGAGCGACAGGAAGACGAGAATGATCCACAGCTTACCAACAAGGACAACTTCCTCACCTGAAGTGAGCGCGCGAGTCTGTGACTTACCTTTTCAAGGGGGCAGTGGGTACTATCTCGGAGAAAGGGAAGTAAGTTTGATCGATCATATTCAGCATAAAGGCTGATCTGTTTTTCATGGTAGCGCTGCCCCTTATGATGGTCTCTCTTGAAAAGCTTATGCAGATACTAAAAAGAACAAAGGAGTAAACCATGAACATAAAAATAAGAAAAGCAAGACCTGATTAATTTAATCAGTTCTAAACGGCCTCCATGGAGAGCCTGAGAGAAAAGTGGTTTTCAGGAAAATGTCTCAGTGAAGGAAAAGTGCAAAGAACACCTTCAGGAGACAAGGACAACCTGACACTCTGTCCAGAACGGCCTCGAGTGACCAGCCATACAACCCGAACAAGTCACCACCTTCTCTGTGACTGAATTTCTTTATCTGCCAAAATCTCACTGGGTCGTTGTGAGGACTGAATGTTCTGCCATTTGTAAAACACTCAGATCCATACTGATACGCCCGGCATACACTGAGCGCCAGGGAAATGTTAATGAGAGCTAACATCCTCACCATCGGCTGCACGGCTTCAGAAATAAAATGCTTGATTAGTGGCCTTCCTGAATCCTAAAACTTCTTGTCTTTTACATAAAAGGGGTACAGTCATGGGATAAGAGAATGTTCTTAAAAACTCAAGCAGCAAGGGCTAAATTATTTTTCATACATTCTGCATCTGCTCTCTGTGAAGTCGTGTTGAGATCCGTGTCTGCCATGACATGCTGCCTCTCCTGGTGACCTCAAAAATCAAGCCAAATACAGACGTTCTGAACCCATTTTCAATACCGATTCCTTTCCCTAGCTGTCTGAAAAAGTTAATGGACCTCAAAGGAAGTGCGGGATTCACTTTCTACTCAGAGGCAAGATTAAGTCTATCAATATATGATGCATACGTTAGAAATTGATGTCCAAAGTGTAGTTCATGCTACCTGGAAACACACACCCCATCACCCACGAGGGGCGGGAAGCCCGACCGCAGCACTCACAGCAAGTACACTCCCACCTGGGGCGAGGAACCGAGCAGCAGTCTGCCCCTGAAGCCGCGACTGTAGATAGGTTCACTGGAGTCGGCCAGCCCCTGTCGTGCCTGGTCACTAAAGAGTCTAGCCAGGCCACATGCACACAGGGAAATGGCTCCTCAGGTCAGCTGGTGGCGTGTCCCCAAGGCCGGGACGGGGCGGAGTGGCCAGGTCTCCATGGCACTCGGACGGGGACCCGGCCTCTGTGCCCGCACTGGGGTCAGCATGTGAGCCGGACACGCGGCGCTGTTTCCCAGAGGGGCATGCAGGCCCGGGCGGCTCTGTCCCATCGGCCAAGGCAAATTCTCAGAGACACTGCCCGACAGGGAAGATGCGCCACCTGAGCAGGGGCCCTGAGTTTCAGCACTGCACTGACGACCCGGGCACACAGACAGATGCCGCCATGATCCCGCTCCTGCCTTCCACAGGCCGGACGTCACTGCTTCATCGCCAAGTCCCAAGGGGGCCAGCGAAGTGGCGCCTGCTTGGCTCAGCACATCACCTTGAGACTGCCAATCCCAACAGCACGGGCACAGCATCCGCACGACCGCTGACCAAAACAAAACGGAACAAAGTACCTTGCATTCCTATCCTGGAGCCTTCAAAAGCTTGCCTAAAACTGACATCTGATGGAAAACGCTATCCCCTGAGCCTCCTCTTGGGGTGCAAAGAGGTGGGCAAAGATACAAGAGCCCCCCTCGAATTTGAGGCCCACGGTCCTAGTGGACCCCTGAAGCCTTTTCTTGTATCATTTTTAAAGGACAGAGAAACCCCGCACTCCTGCTTTATTCCCATGGTGACAGCAATGCAGAGAATCAAAGCAGCCTTCCAAGGCAGTCTAGAACCCTAGGCCTTAACAGTACTACCACCGAGACCAAATGAGAGAAGTGGGATTAGCTAGCGTGAGGGTGAGGGACAGAGAAATGAGGCTTTGTTCGTGCATCCTTCTGAGGTGTCGTAATACAGGGTGTAATTGTATCCCATGCTGACTGCACAAGCAAGGTGCTTACTCGTAGACACATTTTGGTGGCACAAACACGAATGTGATCACTTTTTTTTTAAACCACAATTCAACGGTGAGTCAGGGTTAAAGTACCTGATCTATAATTAGTCCCTAGCCCGGCTCAGAGCTTCTGCTGCATTTGACTAATTACGGACTATCGGTGGTCAAACCTCCACGCTGAGGAGTGACCTGAGCGAGTCACACCACTAGCCCACACCAGCACTGAAAGGCGGCTCGCCCCCTATGCGGTCAAAAGGGCAAATGAAGACGGTCATGCTCACCACGTGCTGCAACTCTGGTCTGTCTTCTAGTTCTTCCACTACCTTTTTAATCTAGAGAGAAAAGACATTTTTAACCATTGATTTAGGGGGACACGAACATAGCTGCAAGATCTGTTGGACCAACAACTCTCCTCTTTATGGCTCGGGTGCTCCGAGACACCCATCTAGTAACACGTACAAAAACAAAAGACACTCACTGAAATTTTGTCTTCGTTGTCCAAAAGCATGTCGACAGCTTTCTGAAATAAAAAGAAAAAAAAGCGACAGTCACTGACACCTGCTGTGTCAGAAGAGAACCTGCGCACATGTTGCGCATGCTGCTAGTTACAGGTGGGGGGCTTCTTTCCACACACACGGGGCCCTTCGCTTTGCAGCAGCCCTCAAGGGAGAGATCTGTAAAAGAATGCATTTTACCAGGTGTCTCCGTCTGAGACCTCTGTGTCTTGCCTACCACTCCCCAAACACGAAACATCCCGTCTACCCGTATTCTAGCCTCCGTGTTGTCGGAGAGATCCCCACAAGTACTCCTGTGACTCTCTGCTTACGGAGCGTGTGCTGGGCCCCGGACCACAAAGTTGAGCTTGGCTTCCTGCCACCTGCACCCTCACTGAATCCCTCTACCGATACACAGATGTAAGGAGGAGAGGGTGGGAGCCAGAAAAAAAACAAGATAGCTGAGGTTTCACGATGAGAGAAAGCTTATGGACTTTCCTCCCAGGCATTTACTTTGTTCACCATGAACATTCATGCAACACAAAGGAGACTGTGTCTGTAACGAAAGGTGGTGGGAAGACAGCCCACCAGGCTGAGCGTCATCCATCATACCCGGGTTCTGCTCCTGACTCTGCTACCACCTAGCTAGCCACTCCATTTTTTTCCCTCTAAAATAGGAGGATGTTAGAAGAGATTATCCTTAAGGTACCTTCTAATTAGAAACCTAGGAGTCCTTAACTTTGGGTCATACTCTTGAACAGCAATCAGTTTCAGCTCGTTCATCTTTTCTCTACAGCTACGGAAGCTAAACTCGGCTCTTGAGACACATGGCACAGAGGGCGGGCAGGCATAAGGGGAGAATGGATGTGGGGAAATGTAATTAATTTTTACAGAAGCACTCCATCCTCTTAATCATCTTTTGCAGAGAAGAAGAACCTCTGCACCTGAACTTCTTCAGAACTGCACTAATTCTTTTTAGATGAGTAGTCTCTAAGGACTTAAATCATTCACTATGAAAAACGGGCTAAAGGCATCTTCCAGAAAAAAGAAGTAGATTTAGCTCCTATTTAAATTGTTTAAGTTTGTGATGGCTAATCTGTAGCACATAATATATACATAGTACACATGTACACATACATACATAATATAGTGCAAAATATCCTTAAGTGCAATAAAATATGATAGAAAAATCCAAGTAATCCTTTTGGAGGCTTACAGGTTCTACTCTTTAACTAAACCTTCAATTTTCTGAATGAGAAGTACTAGGTTTTATGAACTTCTTTATTTCCATCACTGTCACTTGTTAAAAGCGCATGTGGCGTGTGCGCGCACACACACATACACACGCACGAGCCACTGTGAGCTGTGGAGGTCAGGTGCCCTCGTTAGTGAAGCAACCCACTGTCTGAATTTGTCGTACAATAAAGTAACATATCGCACATGGCTGAGACCAGTGGAAATGCCACGTGCTACATCTGTGAATGCCAACGAATAAACTCACAATAAATGGATCAAAATAGAAATTTCCCTAAAATTTTAATCCTGAGACATACAATTAAGAGAGGTGAATGAGCCAAAGTGTATGGCTAGTTTCTCTGTTTCTATGAATTATGTCAATTGTTTTACTAAAAAATTACTTCACACACACACACACACACACACACACAACCCCATTCAAAGTTCCATACCAAATATGAGTGCTTTCATAAAATAACCCCATCAAGTAAAGGAATAACATCTAGTTAGGGTCAGTGTACTGAAGATGATCAGCATATAGCCAAGCTATGTGATTTATTAACTTCTCCAGCATCTGAATAGATGTCTAATTATTAAAAATTTGGAACAGGGGGCACCTGGGTGGCTCAGTTGGTTAAGCGACTGCCTTCGGCTCAGGTCATGATCCTGGAGTCCCGGGATCGAGTCCCGCAT